GGAAAGAGAGGAAACTGGAAAACCCAAAGAGGTCTCATATGAACACAGTGATTTGAACAGCTCTTATATTTGTATTTGTATTTCGTAGTCATAAACAAATACAATTTACTTGAACAGAGACTTCTGAAATATTATGAAGAGATTAATGGAGTCATTTTCTAGACAGGATACATAATTAGATAGAAGGGGAGAGAGGGTGGGATGCTGTAGTTTAATGTTTAGGTAATGTGCTCACAATAAACTACAGCTCACGTAGTTGCAACTTAGATGGCAAAGCTGTGGTCTGTTTCATGATTCAGGCATTTGCTGCAGTTTTTGTTTATTCTCAGTTGGTCATTGCAGTGAATTTATTGTGCTCCAAACACGGCAATTTTGGGTGAAACCATTTTTTTTTTATTTGCTGAAAATAAAGTCACTAAAAACAGATAAACAGCCCTGGGTGTAACCTTCTCGGCTTCCGCCACACAGATCCATGTTTGTTCATCCTGCACGTTAGCACGGCTCCGTCACTGTAGTTTTGAAAAACACGGACTTGGAGTAAAACAAATATATAGTCTTGTGCATAAAACTTTCCCTTCATGTTTATTTTATCACCAGTTACTTGTTACAGAAAATATGCACTCCTAATGTTACAAAATAAAAGAAAGCAAAATTTAAACGTCTTTTAATAATGTGTATTAGTGTCCCAAAATATCTGGGCTGCTTCCCAGATGCTTACGCTGCTTTTATAAGGAAAGGGCAAGTTTTAATTTAGGGTGTTGTGATATCAATTGCATTGGAATAGATTTAAACTGATATAAAGAGAAATTAAACACAACTCCACCCTTTAGTGGGATTCTGATTTACAGGCAGTCAGTCATAATCTCACAGACGGTAGCTTTACACCAGTGTGTTTATTCCAGTTCCTATTTCATATCATAAGCGTTGGTCTGTGAAAGTGGTAGCAGTTATTGATTATAATGCATTTCACTTTCCCAAGTCACAAAGTCAATTTATTGTACATTTTTAAATGTGTGTTTTGATGTCACCTGGCATTGCTGTCAGTCTGTGAGGATAATGAACGAGGATGAGAACGTGATGTTTATAGTAAGCTATCATAGTTTGCTGATTAGTTGTGGAAGCAGATTCAGTCAGGAATATAATTTACTGCCTTGCTTGTCAGCCACAGTCTGACTGTGCACTCAGTCTCTCCCAGCACAATTCAACCTCATGAGTCAACTGACAAGGCCAGGAGGCATGGAGCATAAATATTGCAACAGGCAAATACAAAAGGTGTCCTGACATCAGATGGAGCTCCTTTTCATGTCCAGTTCTTGTGTTTATCAAGGCCAGAAGAGCTTCACATTAGCATGAAAGCAGTCAGTGCCAGGGTGAGCACAGGCACCTGGGGGAAACGAGACTAGCTGAAAGAACTGTGCATGCTGGAGAGGACAAAAGTTTTTATTCAGGCACTGTTTCTTTCCACTTCACCCTCTGTAGCTTTGACCCCCGAGCACCAGCGATTATGGAGGCCAGGGGCTGTACTCTGCAAGCGTGTCTGAAGTCAAGCTGGAGCTGGGGGCGAGGGAAGTCTGCAGCTTGTGCACAAGGGCCGGATGCACATACCTGAAGCAGTGGGGATGGACAGACAGATTGATGCACGCACACGCGCGTGCACAAACACATTCACAACGTGTGGGAGTAGAGACGCCAGCGAGTCTGGGCTCTGCGCAGGAGTATTGTTATTAACATTTTCCCCGGCGTGCATTAAGCCACAGAGAGGACACATCCCTGTGCTATGACTTGAGGGCTCTGCTTTGTTCTTCTCCGTAATGCAGACATAATTACAACCTTAAAGAGTGTCTACCTTTCCTTTCTTTCTCACATCTGTCCCCCACTCCACTCCACCCCACCCCTCACCTCATTCAGTCTGTCTAGCTGTATCCATCCACTGGCATACTTTATATGAAATCATTTTGTTTTTTTGGATATCTTTAGTGCCATTTCTTCTTAGCCTCTATCTACCTACCCACTGTCACTTAATTATCTATGTCATTTTAAGTTTTTTTTTAAAGAGACATTCTCTCGATAAAGTAGCTGCTTCCAAAACCTTCAGCAACATATTGTATAGAAGCACACGTAAAAGTACTGTCAGGTTACTAATGATTAATGTTGACATTAATGTTTCAATAATGTAGCACAAGCTCTGCCATCACTAACAAGTTCACCTTTCTCATCTCGGGCAGCTTTGCCTTCAAGGAAGTGATGACTGGGCTTCTGTAAAAGCTTCTTATCATTCTTTCTTGTCCTTTTCCGGGTTCAGATCTAAATGTCGGCTCACAGAGATAAAAGCATTACCTGCCTGCCGCAAAAGGTACTTAATGAAGCAGGAGAGCAGAGATGGTGTTCACTGTCTATGAATGTCATTAGATCTGGCTTTTATCTCTATAGAGAAAAGCATTATTGATTGATTTATACTGATGCACCTTTAGAAAGATGCCTTAGCTACGTGTGCCTTCCTTACTATATATATATATTTCATTGTTGCTTGTTGGCTCCTTGCTGTGTCTCACCTGTCATTTTAAAATACTGTTTGCAGCAGATTGTTAACCTGCGAGCTGAGATGTCCAGCCAGGAAGAAAAGCACTGCAGTGTGTATCGAACTGTGACCCCTGCTGTTCTCCTTACTTCAGGCTGTTTTCATGCCTCTACTGTGTCAGTCATTACACCCCTGCTCTCAGACAGGTCAGATTTTTTTTGTGTGTGTGATTCAGAGTTGTTTTTTTTCCCTTCCCTTTGCCTGACATGGCCTGTCGAATGATTGTGCAGACCTGTGAATCGATTACATCCATCTTGCAAGCATTCGCTGGCCCAGATATCAGCCCCCCCCCCAAACACACACACACCCACTGAAGAAGATGTCGGGCCACTGTGAGCAAGATTAACTTCAACAGGACATGGCTTTACTTCCAGAAGGTTTTGAAATATTTGTAAGCCTATCCCAATCCCTTTCTTCTGCCAAGAATGCTTTCAGCTGAGGTTGTACTGTGTGTAAGGGTGTGTGGAACTGAACTGTGCATGTTCCACCAGTTCCACCAGTTTTCATTTGGTCCGGGATCTTAGGGTTATTCTGGACAGAGAGTGAGAAGTCGCGGAGAGATTCTGCTCATGTGATGGGTGCTTTCGAACACTTTGGGTGCAGAGGGCTTACAAAACCAGCTATTAGTACAGGGGGACAATCTTCAGGGACTCGGGGTGTTTCGTTCTGAATTAGATGAGTACCATTCTTATAACCAGTCAGAATTTGATTAGAAGAGAGAATGTGGTTTCCTTCTGGGTTGCGGTTGTGCTGTTTTGCTCTTCAGAGGATTTGCTGGGTCACAGTGCATGTACAGTATGCAGTCTTCTATGTGATCTAGACCTCAGGTTGGCTGTATTACATTCTTGATCTTGTGAGAGCTTCGCCTGACATTCATTGGTTTAAATAGCTCCAGTAGCCTTGATTTAAAAGTAAGGCACCCTGTCTTTTCAGATGACTTAAGGGCCTTCTCCAAAAGGACAGTATAAACAGAGACATTGTCCCATGATATTCTGGCACCTTAAGAGTATTCCTTAACTGCAGCAATGAAAGCAGGCACATTCCCCCCCATGTTGTCTGTTAACATGGGAAGCAGCAGTACACTAAGATTGACTAAATTCTACACAGCAGGTTCATCCAGTGTCAGTTCATCCCTAGCAGAATTAAATGTAACAGTGAAGCATTGTTTTTTAACTCTGACAGGGGGCTGGTTAATTAGCCAAAGTCAATTTTGCTGTATTTGACACCTTTTCTTGTTCTTTAATTATGCCTTTGTTGATCTAAGGACTTAGTATTGACATCATTCATACATATATATTAAAAGCAAAAAGTAAAGTCAGATCTAGCACAATGACTAAAAAAGTAGAAATTATCACGTCGATATTGTAATGTTTCTAAAACTATGCATATTCAGAAAACTCCAAGATGTCGTGAGCTTTCTGTTTGGTCATAGGCTTCGCGGGTTTGTTTCTGGTGAGGAGATCCAAACAGTAGAGCAGGCAGCACGTCTGTTTTATTGAAGCGAGCACCACGAGGTCCCAGAAGGGCACGAGGGCTGGGCGATTCAGAGGGGGACACTAATGAAAGACACCAGTCCGGGTGGGAAGTGCCAAAGGAACAAGGGGCTAGATCTGGAATAAGGCGAGTCCAAGTGTTCAATTGTTACACATTGAATCTGAGACTTGAAGAATGTTGGCACTTGATAAAAGTTCAAACAACCAATAATTCACTACACATCACCACTCTCTGGCCTAATAACAGGCCTCATAGCAATAACCCAACAGCCCGGGATTTCTTTGCAGTATGAACATGCCAATACAGCCTGCTCCTTGGCACTCGGTGCAGTGCTACAATTATAGTCAAATCTTTCTCAATGGGATACATAAAATACCCCCACTGTCTTCGAATTAAAAGTACTAGATATGTTCTGACAGCTCTGTTATAGAGTATTGGCCTGAGCAGCAAGAAATAAATTCTCATATTTAATATGTGTTTTCCCTTTTCGTGTGTGTGGGTGTGTGTGTGTGTGTGTGTGTGTGTGGATGTGATTCGATGCCAGCCTTTCGTTTATATGCAAGAGAATAATATCTTTTAGACAGGAAAAACTATGAGAGAGACAGTCTGTGATGAAAAGGAGTTGTTTCTTTTGACCTAATCCTTTAACCAGTTAAGCAAATGGAGTAAAAAGTCCCCTTTCCAAGCATGGCCAGTGTCCAGCAGCCAGTTTTCACTAGAGCAGGGGAGTGCTGTCTCCTGCTCAGGGGCTCGAACCCACAATGCCCTGGTCCAGACCCCGGAATGAAATATTTTTCTTTTTACGTAGAATAGTGCTATATCAGTTTGTAAATAAATTGTAAGTATGCTTTTATTTGCACACTGGAGTGAACAGTCTTTGTTCTGCTGTGTCAAAAAAAAACAGGAGTGATGACTGATAGATCTTTTTTATTTGTATGAAACGCTGTCAGAGCATGGAAGTCCATTGATATCTTATAGCAGAGTGCAAGAAGCAAACTGTCATTCTTTATTATTATTATTATTATTTTTGCTGTTTCCGCTGTTGTTGTTGTTGTTGTTGTTGAAAGCTGGCGTGTGTGTGTAGAGATACCGCCGCAGCTCCGAGGTCAGCTCTGTTAGAAAAGCCCTCTCACAGCAGCTGAGCTCAGCGTCGTGCTTGGAGCCCGACATCTGCTCAGAGCGCCGCCAGCTCGAACAGTTACTTGTTACTGCAGGATTACACACTGTACACCGAGTGGGAGAGGGGTGACCTGCAGGCATGAGAGAATGACATATTTTCTCTTACTATTAATACTCTAAACAGTCGTGCAAATTGCCGGTGAGTCTCCGTCTGGGACGGGGGGCTCGCCATCAGTTTCAAACCGCGCGAACACTGTTCGCGGCGCATTTCGTGCCTTAAAACGGCTGTTCGTTGGGCTCCAAATGAGCCCTCATTGATGGACACGATTATCCTCGTGCACATTCTCAATAAAACCAGCTGGTTTGAAATAAATTGCGCTGGTCTCATTCTAAGCCTCTCTTCGATTTGACAATGAAATTCGGAGTGTGTTTTAAAACCAGTGTTTTTACATGTGTTAAGTCTACTCGGATACTCAGGGCCGCGGGTGATGCATTGATATGGAAATTATTATGAGTAGTAAAATTAAGATTATAGAGAATCAGCCATTAATAAAATTCAGACTTAAAGGCAGCGCCGCCTGCTTTTTGCAGCATTTTGCTCATTGATACCGCGTTTGCGTTTTTAATCCTAGTCCGTAATAGCTATGAATTGTAATAATCTCTCTATAACAGTACTGGTTTTGAATTCATTTATTTTGCGCGTTTATTTTGTTTTATTTAGCAGTGTTTCTTAATGGGAATATTTTGCTGGTATTCGACGTGACCCTTGAAATCACTAGGCCTGCTCGTGGAAATGTCTCTAAATTTGCTATTTGCATGAAATATCTGCACTTGTGTGTGTTAAAACGTGTATTTTGTCCATGGTCTG